CCGCGGAAACATCGATCCAACAAGTTGTCAGGTAGTATCCATGTGGTTGTCTCATCACAGTTATGCGCATGTGTGCTCTAGATTTCTTCAGGAATATCTGAACAATCTCTGGAGAAAAACAGAACAAGCAGTCCCGCCTGAGTCCTTCGTCGGCAACCTCCAGCTTAGCGGCAAGCCTCTGAGCCGCCCATGCGAGCCGTTCTTCCTGTCTCCTGATGGCGCGCCGACGGATGGACGAGGCAGCGGAGGCGGTTCCGTGCCAGTGGCCGAGAAGAAGAAGAAAAAGAAGCTGTCCGGCGCGGTGGTCGCGACCATTGCCGTAGGCGGCGGGATGGCGGCTCTACTGGCTCTGGTGCTACTCTTGGTCCGAGGCGCCGCTCCACCCGCCGCCTGCCAGCTCTCGGCTCTGTCGCTACCCCTCTGCGCCGCCCGCCGCCGCTCGCCATTCTCGGGGAGAGGGGGGACAGAGAGAAAAGGATAGAGAGAGATGGGATAGAGAGAAGGGGTAGTGAGGATGACAGGTGGGGTCCACGTGGGCCCCACCATTTTTTATTATTGTGTGTGTGAAACTGACATATGGGTCCCATAGGTTTTATTATTTTTCAGATCGAATTGCTACGTAAGCGCCACGTCAATGCCACGTCAGATGAAGACCGAGTCAAATTTGCCACGTAGACGTCACCTCAGCCAAAACCGGGGTCAAATACTGCCGAGGGACCTTATATAAACGGTTTCGTATGTTGGGGGACCTGTCGTACCCGGTTTTGCGATCAGGGAACGAAAACCAGACTGGGCGACAAATAGAGGGAGCCAAAGTGAACTTATTCCAACTTTTCGGGACGTCTTTGAGATGGGCCGATCATAGGTACATGTTTGCGCGTGGCCCTGGTGCGCTAGCTTCACCAAATCGACATGCGCGAAAAAGAAAAGGGATGTAATTTTACTCGACAACGTTTCCATTTGACTCTTTCTTAGTCCTGAATCCATTCATTCTTATCATTCAGCACTAGGGTGCAGGCCCGCGAATATACTTATAGTACAAATAAATAGAAAATATCAACGACGACCCGTCTCAGTCTCTCTGGGCGGATGTCTGAAGATAATTGATTCGCTTTCTTAAATACTAGTTGATACTATACAGTTTGCATATAATTCGTCTGATTCAACCCTGTGATCATCAGTGAAATGAGCCATATTATATATGCCAAAATGAAACAAAATAAATAAACAATAACGAATGCTGATCAAAGAAAGGCATACGATACGAATGGCTTTTGTTTTGTTTACATTCATGGACACGGACAGGTGGATGCTTTCTCTGAGTTCGTCCCACAAATCTAACCATTTTTGGTGACTGCATGCCAACACATGCAACTTGTAAATACCTCACAAATCAGAGATATAATTACCGGCTTTCGTCTCTGTCGCGCAAGTGGCCATACACTCGTTCAAGCTCCATATAGCCAGCTATGCCAAATTCCGTTGCAATAATTTGCAAGTTGTATATGTAAATCAATACTATTTTGGCAACGCCGGATCGGAGCATCTCGTTTTTGGCAGGATATTATGTAATTAATGGTGCACTTCTAGCAACCAAATTTTGTCTGACAATGATAGATAATATATTTGTAGCTCGTGTCAAACCTTGCTTAATTTGTTTGCCTGGCCAATTGCCATTGTTCTGTTTTGGAGTAGGTCATATTTTTCTAATAGAGAACTTACAGTTAAAAAATGTAATTAACTGGAAGTATAAATACCTAGAATTTCATTTTGCAGTTGATATTAGTGTTTCAGTTCAAAACTCAAATTAGTTTGTTTTGCATTTGGTTGGAACTGAAAGTTGATTAAATTCCCAGCTAACAGTTCCGCAGCTGAAAGCACTCACGCTGAATAGTACGCTACCCTGAACAATTGGCCTGGCCTAATAAATAAATCTCTCACCCCGAGCCCACAAAGCTTCTAACTGGCACGGCTTGGTCCACGACGTCTTTTCGGTCCGGAGTCCTCTCTGGCCCAAACCGTATACAAGAGGAGTCCAGCCCACCACAAGCCAGTTTTCCCCGGAAATAAGTTCACTTGAGGTCCCTTATTTCGTCGCCGAGTTTGAAATTTGTACCTGAATCACAATGCCAGGTATAACCCGTCATTGAACTTACAAAACCGGATCACATTTGATCACAAGGCAATATTGCTCCCGGTTACGGCTGATGTGGCGGTTGAGTTAGTGTGGGACCCACATGTCAGGGTATTTTGGTCTTTAAAAAATAATTAAAAATAGTAGACCCACATGTTAGTGACACAAACTCTTCCACCTTCTTCCTCTGTTTCGACGTTCTCTTTCTCGGCTGCATGGGTGATGGGTATCGTCCTCGCCGCGCGGATGTGCGTGAGCAGCGACTCCCTGAGCTGGGCTTCTCCCATCTGAAGCTCAGGTTGATCAACGTCTCCAGAAAATCGCGAGTTCTCCGGCCCCATCCCCGCAGGCCTCAGCCGCTTTTCAACGTGATGTAGTCGATGACGATGACGAGGAGCTTCTCGTCCTTCTTGTAGAGGTAGGCGACGACGGGGAGGAGGTTGGGGTGGGTGAGAGGCGGCGCATGTGCTCCGAGAAGTCCTTCTCGTCCTGCTGCGCTTCGCCGCCCGCGCTGCCACCGGACCCGGCGGCGATGGCTTCGAGTTGAATTGGGCGTCTCGCCGGACGCCTGTCGTGGCTGGCCTCTTCCATTCTTTCCGGCTGGGCAACATGACTGATAGGAATGTTCGCTATTGCTTCGGCGTCCATCGTCTCGTACATATGTACTCTGACCACCTCCATATTCCTGCGGCCGACGACTCCCTTTGCGATCATGCTAACAATATAATGATGAGCATGACGTAAATGGTCATGAACGTCGCCAGGTTGGACGGCGAGGCGCGCGAAACGCGAACGTATCGCAGAAGGCGTCGGGAGGCTTGCCGCACAGGTCCTCGTTACCTGCATGTGCTCGATGAATCCAAGATCAAGATAGGCGGCCGGCGCGCGAGGATTGGAGGAGTAGGACGCCGCGATCAATTTGCGTACTTGAGAACATGCTGGCGTTTAAGCGGTTGTTGTTGTAGACGTCGACGAACCTGAGATCCGGTTGGGAGAAGTCCGGCAAAGGGAGTCGCTGCTCATGCACGTCCGGGCGGCCAAGGACGAGGCCCACGCGTGTAGGCAAGAGAATGTCGAAACAGAGGGAGAAGAAAGAGTTTGTGTCACTGACACGGGGGGTCCACCAGTTTTTATTTATTTTTGAAGATTGAAATTCCTTGATATGTGGGTTTCATGTTAGACTCGGTCGTCACGTCAACTAAAACCGGAAGTAATACTGTGTTGGGACCAAATGTGATTAGTTTTATAAGTTGAGGGACGAATTATATCTGGTATTGCGGTTGAGGGACGAGTTTCAAACTCTACAACAAATTAAGGGACCTCAAGTGAGCTTATTCCTTTTCCCTGCACCGTGCAGCCCAAAACACTCCCCACGGGATCCACGTCGTCGAAACGCGCAACGCCCCCCACTCCCCCGGGCCGCGTGAGCAGCCCAGGAATTTTTTTTTACATTTTTTATTAAAATATTTGTAAAAATAATTTTTTTTCAAAATTTATAAATCTAGTCACCTCGCGCCCTCTGGAAGGGTGTTTTTTAAAAATCGCCTTTCCAAAGGGCGTTAAGGGGCCTAAATGCAATTTTTTTATTTGTGTTCAAACCCTTTCCACCAGTTTTAATTGCTTCAAAACTAATAATGCTTATTTGACACTTTAAATAATTTTAAATGAAAAAGTAATAAACTACGTAGTTACTTTGATATAAAGTTTATCTCCATCCGATTTCGTTTGAAAATGTAGATGTGATATTTTTTTTAAATAGGATTTATATTTTGTAACGAATTTTTGATATCTAAAATATCTTAAATGAAAAGGTTGTTTAGATAGCCTCTAGCTCTACAATTTTGATATAAAGTTTTATTTCATCTGACTTTATAAGTCTGGAAGGAAATCAGCAAGGGGGATTGCTAAGATGACATCTCCAGGGAGAGAAGCGACGAAACACCTCCGCTGTCGTCCGTCGAGGTCTCAGAGAGAACCGAGACTGAGCTTTCACCCGACACCCCACTAGAGGAGATGGAACGGCACAACAACACCCTCAAGAGGGAAAACGACGCTCGAAGACGCCATCGTTGTCGGCCTGGCTAATAGGCCCAAGACAGGGCTAGGTTTCCACCAACCGCTTGCCTATCCACAACTGACCACCATTGCTCCACCACCATCAAGTGTCAGGCGCCCCCGCCAACCAGCCTCCGCACTTCAAGTCACTTGTTTTACGTTCGGCTAATTAGCTGTTTGACCGTTTCCACCCGCCCAAGATCCAAAATGTATCAGGAGCAAGGTTGTCAGGATCGGGATACTAGTTAGTATCGTTTTGCTCAAAGTAATATCGTATCGTAGGATCGTATCGTAGTATCGGGATACTATGAGATTTTCTTTTTTTAAGTTTAATTAATATTTATATTAATTATATGTAGTCATTCTATATAAAAAAATATAGTAATGATATATGTCATGCAAATAGAGGCATTTATTAAGAGAAATCATGTTGGTTTTGATATATTTAACTGATTATTATATAAATTTGAGCATATTTATTTACATTATTTTCATACCATATTATTTTAAATAATATTTTGTAGTATCGTAGGGATCGTAGAATCAGAATACCACCTAAGATTTCACAGGATCGTGTACTAATGAATAGTAGGATCGAGATACTATGAAAATTAAGATACTAGGTGGGATCGGTTTTGGCTTGGTAGGATTGTAGTATCGTAAGATACTAGGATACGTATCGAGATACTGACAACCTTGATCAGGAGATCCGGAGAGTTGACGCAGCGTCAACCGGGTCCGTCGTTCTGCCGCGTTCGCTTTCATGGTTTCCTGTACTACTAATACTACGAGGTTGGCTCTACTTTCCCCTGAACCATACCGCGTTGAGCTTCTGAGTTCATGAGCTGCAACTTTTCCTTTCCACCCGCTGAAATCTGAATCCTCAAATGGTAGCAACAAAGTAATCTCATACAGTCATACTGAAGCTTTGCTGTGGCTACGTCAGGCCGGTGACATCGGATCAGTCGGTGAGTTTCGTAGAACACCTTGCTTGTTCATGCCTTTAGGTTGAAGGCAGCTCTGTGGCATCTCTACACCTGAAATCGAGTACATAGTTTATTCATGTTACAAGTCTTTCTTTTTTATGCAACTTTTGAGCAGGTCACACGGGAATTTAGAAGCTGCAACCTTTCGTCAGACGAACTGTCTGTTTCTAGCCCACCTCTGCAATGGCTGATGGTGCCAAGCTTCTCCTGTGGTTGCTGCTCTTGAGCAGCTCGCCGTGGTGTTTTTGTTCTGAACTTGATGTCCAATGCCTGGAGACACTCTATCGATCAGTGATAGATTCCAACGGCATACTCCAATCCTCATGGACTTTTGTTGACAACGGTACTGACGGGTACATATGCAAATTTACTGGTGTGGAGTGCTGGCATCCTGACGAGAACAGGGTACTTTCTTTGCGTCTCGGTAACCTAGGACTTCAGGGCCCATTTCCTCAAGGTCTGCAGAGCTGTACAAGCATGATTGGCCTGGATCTGTCTAGTAACATTTTTTCAGGACCAATCCCTGCTGACATCGCCACGCAGGTTCCCTGTCTAACATCTTTGGATCTCTCATACAACAGTTTTTCAGGTCCAATACCAGCCAGCATCTCAAATATGACATACCTGAACACACTCAACCTTCAGCACAACCAATTCAGCGGTGAAATTCCAAGGCAATTCGATTCAATTGGCCGGTTGATTTCGTTTAATGTTGCTGATAATTTACTATCAGGGCCTATTCCATCCTCATTACAGAAATTTTCGGCTTCAAATTTTGCTGAAAACCAAGGCTTGTGTGGTGCTCCGTTGGATAACTGTCCCAGGAGGAGGAGATGGAGACTCAGGCTGCACAGAATCAACGACGAGTCCAGCATCGGAGCGGCTGTTGGTTTCGTCGTTGGGTTCGTGGTGGCCTTCTACTTCCCTCACTGGTTTGTCTTCTCCAAGAGGCTTCATCCCTACATCTTTCAAATATGGTCCATTCCTTCTGGAAATCTATCTGCCAACCTGCGAAGAACATGAGTCCATCAACTTATACTGATTTCTCTCTTTAGAGGTATTGATTAGTTTTTCATGCGAATGCAAAATAACCAAGAAATTAGCCTTGAATATTATTAGCCCTGGCTCATTCAAGATTCCTAAGGAAAAAAAATGGTGATGCCGGTGTTGAATCCTGTAAAAGGCTAAGCGCTAATTAGGATGTCACGTGCATTCCAGTCTTTAGGTTTTTTTTCAAGAGTTCTTATCTCATGCTAAAAATCTTACGGAATAAGGTTGTAAGACTACAATCCTTAAGAATCTCTAAATTTTCCCCGGAAAAAGACAAACCATCAAGCTCAAAAAATAATAATACAATAATGGAAGACGACGAGCCAAACGAATATAGGAAAAAAAATCCTATGGTTTCAATTCCTTCACTAATCATTTGAAAATCCTATAAACTGGATGAGTGCCTATCATTGTTTTTTTTACTAAAATGGACTGAGCACCTCCATAGAAACATCTCGATTCAATATTCCAGTGTTGAATGAATTTGAGTGAAAATTATCTGATCGTTTATTAGCACAATAGTCAGAAGAGTACCTTTACAGTGGTTTCGGTAGTATTCTGGAATTAAGTTTGAAAATATAATGTCCATTAATTTTTTTTCTCAGTAATATCTGGGATGTAATTTTTTGACACATATACCGTCGTCGCTAAGGGAGAGTGTGAAAACAGCCTGATATCGCTGAACAATTACACGAAGATGACGATGGCAGGATGTCTTGCTGCAGTCTCGCGTGGTGGTACTGCGAGACTGCGCGGTTGCCACCGACATGGCCTCTGATTGGGATTAATGATGCTGATTAATGACTTATTAATTACTAATGATGTTAACTAAAAATATCAATTAATTAATTGATAATGATATTAAATAATCTATTAATGCGCTAGTTAGGGATGTGAAGTTGTGGTCTCACGCACTCGTCACGCAAAGGCTGAGGGGCCCGACTAATACGCGATTTACCCGTTCGGGGCCACGGCACGCGATCAGATCAGCGACACTTACGTGTTTTCCTTAAACCTCAGTTCGTGGCTCTCATGTAGACGTATGTACTCTGAATTTAAAATCAATTTGAAAAATAAGTTCGAAAAAAAGAGAATAAAAATATATTGCACTAAAAGCTATTCATGTACATAAACTTTATATATGAAAATATATACATGGCTAACTTTGTACATATGAACTATGTGTATAGAAATATTTTATATAAAATATATTTAAAACTGAATTCAAATTTAAATCGGGTATATAAACTTTCACCGTACAAACTTTAGGTGTATAAACTCTAACAGTATAAAGTTTAGGTGTATAAACTTTAGGTGTACAAACTTTAAATGTATAAACTTACTATAATAGGAAAGTAAAGCGGTGCCAAAAAAAAGAAAACTGCGTGGGGGAGGGGAACTGATCGCTGAGGGTGATCAATTGTGCGATAGGTTTTTCGAAGGCCGAGCGGTGTCGCGTGGTTTTGTACTTCCATTTATGCGACAATGGTATATTTCTAAATCTCTTCTAAACGTGTATATTTATGTAAAACGAGTAAAAGAAGACATATTTTAAATTCTTTTCTAATATTCTGCTACTAGTTTTATCACGAGAAGTGATCTAACTATTAATATATGAGTTCTATTATTAGTAGAAAATATATTGTATCAACAGTAATTAAGATGGTAGTATAAATAGATTTGATTTGTTGATTAGAAAAGATAAACAATCTATATTAATTCTATGGGGGTAAAAAGCTGGGTGTAATGCCTTTCCTCCTTAAAAAAATATTAATTTTATGGGTAATTTTATCATCCTTAAGAGGATACTTAGAGGTACCATATTTTCTAATGTAAAATTTGGTATCTGTAGGTACTAAGGCTCTGTTTGATTCAGCTTAGGATTATTATAATCTAGATTATTAGGTGTAAGCTAAAACAAACAAATAGCTTATTATGATACATTATTACAATCTATAAGCCAGATTACTATAATATGGTAATCCACTCTAAAGGTGCTTTTTTTAGATTATTGGGGACTAACAGCTAATAATCTAGAGAAACAAACAGCTATCAGCTTATTCTATGTCGGCTTATTATAATCCAGCTTATTATAATCTGGCTCAATAATCTAAGATTATAATAATCTTAAACTGAAACAAAGAGAGCCACCTTAAGGCACAAAAAATTTTACTGTAAAATTTAGGTACCTCAAGATATTTTCTTAAGGACTGTAAAATTCATTTAATTCTATTACCATTAGAAACCATTGTGGTACATATTCTAGTAAAAATAATGTTAATGTCCCTTAACGATGAAGCTGATACTGGTGAAGAGATTCATAACTAGACTAGTACAGTACAATAGCTTGTATCCTACTTAGAGCAAATTTAATAGTATAGCCCACTACTAGCTCCAATTCATCTATAGCCAATCTAATAGACAATTCATATAATAGTTGTTTACTATACTATTAATATATGATCCCACATGTTATACACACACTGTGTCTTGGAGTCCGTGCTGCAGCTGGCTACAGATCTGTAGCCCGCTACTTCTCTCTCATCGTTTATCTCATTAAAATATGTTTATAGCCGACTAATAGTATGCTATTGTACCTGCTCTTAGGTCTTATTCGGAACGGAGGAAATGTGAAGGAAAATTGGAAGATTAATGATTCCTTTGAATTGGGTACTGTAGATGCATTCGTTTCAAAGGATTGGTTACCTTGAATTCCAAAGAAACACTATTCCTTGCCCATGTTTTGATAGGAAAAAAAAATCCACTCTAACCTTCTTTGGTGTAAGAATCCACTACGCATGAGGAATAAGAAATTTCAATGTTTTATACACTCCTCTGATTTAAACATACAATTCTACCATATTTCTATATTTTTTCAATACCGCGTTTTTCCTATCCGCCCTTAGTACCAGTGACTAGTCACAGTCAGTAGTCTACGCCTCAACGGCGACAGGAGGGTTCGTTGACCCAGAGTCAATCTTTCAAGGCATCAACGATGAAGTTATCAGTCGCAGGTCGCAGCACTATTCCGTCGACGCGTATTTTTGATTGAGCCATAACGGCATTCAGATCATGAGCTCCGGATGCAGTTCAGGCTGTGTTTAGATTTCAACTTTTTTATTCGAAATTTTAACTTTTTCATCACATCAAATGTTTGGACATATATATATATATAGAGTATCAAATATGAACCGAAAAAAATAATTGCACAGTCCAACTGTAAATTGTGTAAATTGCTAGACGAATCTTTTAAGCCTAATTACACCATGATTAGTTATAAGTGCTACAGTAACCCACATATACTAATGATGGATTAATTATGCTCAAAAGATTCGTCTCGCAGTTTACAGTCGACATCTGTAATTTGTTTTGTTATTAATCTATGTTTAATACTTCAAATGTGTGTAACGAAACGTCAAAAAAAATTTGGACGGCAACTAAACACGGCCTCAGTCTCTGCTTTCTTTTAAACAGTGAAAATGATTTGTATCTCTGACCACTACCATACATAAGATACACAGCCAATATCTTTTTTTACCTTAAAAACATAAGGTGAAAGGATAAACCTTCAACTCCCTCAAAATAAGTTCAACTAAAGAAATTCTAAAATATAGCACACAGTTCAGTCTCACTTGACGTGAGCTACCGGGATCTTGTGCTGCAAGCCTGTAATTATTGGTTTTTGTAGTTTTTTTAGGCTAATCCTCTGAGCGCTTGTTTATTCAACTAGTATTTGGATTTTTTTAATAAAAAAGAGGCGAATATTAGGAAATAACCTAATATCAAATAATTAGAAGGAGAGATGTTTTGAACTCAGATTGTCTAGCCCACCACTTTGTGAAGCTAGCCGAAGATCCTGGACGTTTTTTTTTTCTTTTTGGAATACACAAGAAGCATATTTTTGTATTAAGGGGACAAAAGTTATTTACAAGGAGAAATAAAAAAAAGGAGACGGGGTAAAGGATAGCTTCAGGCAGCTAGAGTCCTAAAATCATATGCAGCCGAGGTACTGAATAAATGTGGAGTGTTCATGTTAAATTATTTCCTTTTCACTCGAGATGGCCACTGTTTGACTTATTACAGGCGTCTGATTATCAGCAAAACTTAGCTAAGTTGTTCATAGAACAAATGGTGAAAGGTGATCTGCAGCTGCTGCTTCATCAAGTAAGCCTGCATACTTCCGTCAAAAAAAAGTAAGCCTGCATAAATATTCAGGGAGGGCTGGTAATCTCGGTGCAGTCCACTGTAAAATCATGTAGGCAGCTGGCTGCTACATGTGGGGTTACAAGGATACTCGCAGTCGATCTCTTTCACTTCATAGCTTCTCTCGAAATACCAATCCCCAACAGCCTCGGCAACAGTCTGCTCCACACAAGTGTAAATAAAAACATATCAATCCATTTTTTACAGTCTTACAATTCAGTGATTTTCTTTTCTGAACTTAGGACAGTCCGGTGATTTTAACCTCACCTTGCTACCGAGCACTGGGGAGGCCTGTGAGCTCCATGAGATGTTGAATGGCGTTTGACAGTGGGTGAAGCATGAATCAATGAACAGTCCCCAGTCCTTTTTGTCTTTGACAATCTCTACATCATCGACAAATTTGTTCCTGAATCCTACATCAAGGAGAAATAAATTTTACTTCTGAGTTATTAAAAACAGGACAGTTACCGAAGAAACCAAACAGATGGACAAGCTAAACCAACCATTGAATACTTGGATTTGTGTGGAACTGCAATTCCGAATGTCAGTTTTGCAACTGGACCATGACTGTCCAGGAAAGGATCCATCTGGAGCAAGGGCATTCCTTATCTACAAATAAGAAGCATAGTAAAACAGTGAGAGGATTTAACTTGTTGAATTCCTCTGGAAAAAGTTAAGGCTGTGTTCTTTGCTCAGGGTTCCCAACCCCTCTCCCTCGTGTTCCGCGCGCACACTTTTCAAACTACTAAACGGTGTGTTTTTTTGCAAAATGTTTCTATATGAAAGTTGCTTAAAAAATCAAATTAATCCATTTTTGAAAAAAAAAGCTAATACTTAATTAATCACGCGCCAATGGACCATTCCGTTTTCCGTGCGTACTATTCCGGTTGAGAACCAGATATGCCAAACACAGCCTAAGTGTTTTTTAGGAAAGAACTATATATATTAATGGGAACAAATATAAAGAACAAAATTAGTACCTGCCAAGAATCATAAGCAGAGTTCAGAATAAGCGTGGGAGCGGTGATGCTCTTAACAAGCTCAGCAGGAAAGAAGCACTGGGAACAGCAATACGTCAGTAAAGGAACTTAGCACCATAACAAGGAGAGATCTTTTATGGAATACAGCTGATTTAAACTACAGGTAAATACCTCTGTTGGATCCTTCTTTGTAAGACAATCTTTTGACAAAACTTCTCTAACATTCTGGGATAAAAATTCAAAAACAATAACTGAGTAAGATTGTAAAGCTGAATACGGATCGATCAGATGAGACAAACGGGCAAGCTGGCATGATAACATCACGTGAAAAGAAAAGGACAACCATTGCCAGATGACCAGATCTCACTGAGGTATTCATAAGTACAGAACAGAACAAACCACCAAAACATTTGGAATAAATTGCCGAGCTCCCTTCTTAGAGTTACGAAAAATAACGTTTTTTCTAGGTTTAAATATGTTGAAGTGTTCAGCAGCTTACCTGAAGATGAACAGTTCCATTGAATACGGACCACATGTGCCTCTCGCCAGATAAATCCTCACTGGAGCAGAAACTGGCACTTAAGTGCAAGTAGTACACAATACTGCTAATTAATTACAAGAGGCTTACACATCAAGGAAAAATCCAGCATCAGGAAGGCATTTAGCTGAAACCTCCTTTGGAAATCGTGCATGAAAATCATTGCAGTGCAGTAGTGCAGCCAGACCACCAGCAGAGCATCCTGAAAGTATGGCCTGAAAAATGTAGAAAAATGAAAATAAAAATGATATGGTTCTTGATGAGACTCATGAGAGTGCCAGAATGAAGCACGAAAGATTCTTGTCCATATGAAACCAGCCAGGTATTCTTGTTCAGACAGAATTAAAAACTCAATGCACAACGTGTAACCTGTTTAGCAGTTGCGAGTCCTTTTCCCATGAGCTCATCAACAACTGCTTCCCAGATGCGCAATCCCCTGAAATGAAGTGTGCTCCCATCCTACACCGTTGTCAATAATGTCGGATAGGTCTTATTTTTTAGGGATTACAGTGTTGGACAGAACAAGATAGAGACTTCAAAAATCACTTTTAGAATTAAAAATATCCACCTTATCTTGGGCCTCCGCATCACCAGAAAACGATGCCCCATCGCAATACCTTATGGCAACTTTGTTCCAGTTATAAAAATCTAATCGACAATGATTGAAATTAGTAAAAGGACATCAAAATTATCCAAAGCATTAGTAAAGGAAATTAGTATAGGGACTAAAATTAAGGACCCACATCTGTTATCTGCATGTACCAGAATTTTTTTTCGAGATAAATGCATGTACCAGAATTCAGTTGTTGGTCATTGCTGAGTATTCCATTGAACTCTGCTGCTTTCATGAATTTGGATGAACCATACACGCCCATTTTGCGCCTGGAACAACTTTCGATGCTGTTGCACCAGGCTCCTCCCTGAGCATTTGCAGAACAAAAAAAAAAACAGTCATGAATTTGGATGATGCATGTGTTGATTAATACTTGATCAATGCTACAGTACTAATTAAGCATCATCCAGTCAGGCATTCTCATGCTGCAAAAGAGTCCATGTAAATGTTTGAAGCAACCATGAACAGAAAGCAGCAATCTGCGATGAGAGAAAATCGATGGATGCATGATCGATCACCTCAAGAAAGACGAGCCAGCTGTGCTCACCGGAGCCGAAGCCTCTCTGCAGGTGGTACCCCGGCGGGCTCCCATCCAAGCACACTGCAAGCATGCAACAACACAGTTCTTGAGTTCAGGAGAACTTGATGCCCATCAAAGATTCAAGAACCTGAAGTTCACTGCAGGTGCAGGCAAGATATACCTGCGCCCTTCTCCTGAGCGCCGGCGAGGAGGGTCAGCTCGACGACGTCCGCCGCCGCCGTTGGGCGGGCTACGGCGGCCAGGAGCAGGAGCAGGAGCAGCAGAAGGAAGGGCTCCGCAAGTCGACGGCGCGGGAGCACCGGCGACCGGAGCTTGCTGCTGGTCGCCATGTCATGCGCAGCCCGTGTGTGGTGGGTGGGTGGTCTCGATGGAGACAAGGGCTATTTATCGCGACGAAAACCCGCCATCTGCGTTGAGGTTTCAACATGACAATTTCGGTCTAGATGCTCTTCGTCGTAACAAATTATATGCTGACAAAGTCGTTCGTCCGAGAGTGACAGTCTGACTGACAGACTACCTTCACATCGAACAAGTTGCTGTGGCCTTCAAATGCACTCTGAATTCAGTGGGTTTTGCTGAGCTGAACATTTTGTTACTGGTTGAGAGTGTAGCGTGGCTCAGCCACTTCCCGCTGCTTGAAGTTTGTATTTAGCTGCCATAGATTTTTAAAGCTTTAGTTTCTTTTTTTTCCTTCCTTTTGCATAAGCCGGTCTCAAGGGCGGAGCTAGGTAGGAGAGGGGGGGGTGCCCAGGAACCCGGTTAAGAAAAATTTTTTAGCTATAGTTCATTTATTTTCACCATATATGCACCACCCTCAATCCAAATTTAGGCACTTATATCAGTTTAATGTAGAGTAAAGCAAGTGAGTGGCACCCCTCTCTATTTCTTTCTAGCTCCGCCTCTGGCCGGTCTGGCTGATTGCGTCGTGTAACTATAACTCTTTTCTTCTAATATATTGACATGCAATTTTTTTGCGCATTCGCGAAAAAAGCTGAACATTTTGTTCATCCTGAGCTGCCACTACGTTTCGTTATCGTTGTGCAGAACTGCATATCAATGTATCCTCAGAATTCAGACGGGGGAGGCTTCAACCCTTTCTCGTCTCAGAGACTCTGATGTCTGAACTCCGGGACGACCCAAAGAAAGTTTCAGAACAAAAGCAACTTCAATAAAGCAGGAATAAATTAACAATGGGCCGGAGTCTGAGAGTTGGTGGAGTTGAACTGGTCAGGCATGGAGCGGCGGGACGCGTACGGCCGGAAGGCGGTAGAATCCGACGAGCGTGCCGGCGGCGGCGGCGGAGACACCGGCCGTTCTTGGCTTCTTGCGCGACGGAAATTGGTTCGCTACCATTGGTTGCGATTCGACGTGGACTGTCAAGTTGGGCCAAATCTGTCGCCACGTCCGCAAGTAAATGGGTCGTATTGTATGGACTAGTATCTAGTCCCGGCCCAATGCATAGAAAAGGCCCATGAGAACAAACGAAAATAGGAACCCAATCCAAAGGTGTTCGGCACCCTCTTTTCCCAACCCTTCTTCCTCGTTTTCGCGCGTACGCTTTTTAAACTGCTAAACGGTTCGGCTTTTGCAAAAAGTTTCTATACGAAAGCTATTTTTAAAAATTCAAATGGAAGTTTTTTAAAAAAATCAAATTAATCCATTTTTTTAAAAAAAATACTAATACTTAATTAATCACGTGCTAATGAATCGTTCCTTTTTCCGTGCAGAGGAGATGGGGTTCCCAACCCTGATGAGCGAACACAACCCCTAGGTCAGTTAACCGTTATCCTTGCGTACACTCCAATCTAGGTCAGAGACTCAGGGTAGAATCGGTATGTAGCGATCCATCCAATGGCTCTCAGAGATCAGATGATTTAATCGTGCAGTCTATATTTGAGACTGGTCTCATCATCGCACTTATTTTTGGAGATGTCATCTAGGAGATGCTCTTGCCAAAACTTCTCTCAGATTAGCTTGTGAGAGTTCTCTATATGTTTATCCTCTTGTGACTATGTTGGCGGGCGTTGTGGGGGAGAGATGATCCATTTTTCTCTCTCACCCTCTCCAATCAAATCCCAAAGATGTGGATAGAATTGAGTGCGGTGCTCGGCTATTAGGATTTGGTTTTGGGCTGTTCCGCTATACCTTCTTTGTTGGTTTAGCAATGACCGGTCACGTATAGTGCCGGTCAGTCCAATGCTAGCTTTCTCATTGGTTTTGTGTAGGTGTTATCGGTGTGTAATGGTAGAGTTTTTTTTTGGTTTATGGCAGGGTGCTAGCTTGTTTTTTTTTTCATCTATATTCAATGGAACATCTCATTGACGGTGTTGTATTACTTGTATGACTGTTCATTCCAGAAAGGCAATTGAAATCTGAGGGAAGATAATTGAGAGTTTAAATGAGAGAATTGATAATGATATTAACATGAAAAAAATTATTTTACTCCCAATCTCTTATTTGGTAGACATGGTCGGAATTAACAGAGAGTTTAAATGAATACATATGTCTATGATTTGCTTAGGCAACGTAAAGGAGAAATTATTTTTCAATTACTAGCCCCTACCAAAGTATTAAAAATGAGAGAATTTCTCCTGACCAAACATAACAGTTTTTCTCATGTCCACTTTTGGTCTTGTGTTTTTCTCCTTTTTATATATAAAAAAAGAGGGCAAGATCTTTGCCTCATTTATATTGACATCAGTTTATTTTTTTATTCACTATGCAGTGCTTTGGTTTTGTAAAATTTGTAAGTGATCAATTGACATTTGACAAATCTTTTTTTTTGGGGGGGGGGGGGGGGGCATTCGACAAATCTTGATTCAAAGGCTAAATAAGAATGGACATGGACTAGACGTCAGACACCCGATCTAAGCTAAAGGATGGGATTTTCATATGTTTTGGTCGATCATCATTGAAATATCAAAAGTTACATGTTTTGTCAATCCAGACGTATGTTCTCACGGTGCTGAAGCCGCAAAGCAATCTCTTCAAGAAATCGACAAAGTAAGAAGACATTTCCTATGGACCGGTAATTAGAAGATGCATGGGGGCAAATGGAAGATAAATTGGCCCAAAGTCTGCTGTCCCGTCCATCATGACGGGCGGAGTTACCAACTTAGAAAAATTTGCTAGAACCCTACGGCTGAGATAACTTTGATATGAATAGAGGGCACCAAAAACCCTGATATGAACCGAAACACCCTGTGATAAACTCAATAAAGAGTTATTCACGGCATCGACTAGAGTCCTTATCAATAATTGGAAAAAGGCGAACTTCTGGGAATCCAATTGGATGGCGGCCATTGCCTCAAAAGTCTAGCGCTAAACCTCTACATTCACTCCAAGAGGAAAAAAACACACGGTATAGGACGCCCTGCAATAAGGAAGCTAGATAAATGACATTCGTCACAACCTCACTATCACTCTTCTTGCAGCTTCTTGAAAATTTGCAAGGTCCTAGCACTTGAATGCCTACAATCAATACAAAGAGTGGAGGATTCGATTACTTGGAGATGGACGGCAAATGGGGTATATATCGCAATATCTGCTTACCATTCCCAATTCGAGGGACTGATAACCTCGTCGTCAACCAAGTTGTCTTAGGAGGTCTGGGCCCGGCAAAATGTAAGATTTTCAGCTAGCTTGCGATAAGAAACTATGGCTCAGTGAATGAATTAGCATTAGAGATACATGGACAAAGTATCTTGAGAAGTGGAGTGTAACATAAAAAAAAACAAAATGAAAAAAAAAAACTAATTCAAGTTGAAACATTTTGTTCTGCATATGAAACATAAAAAAATGTAAAAAAAAATTAACGGCTTAAAATATGAAACACATTCAAATTCTAGTTAGTAGTATAACATTTTGCTTCTCATGTACTACAATATAACGAATAACTCTATGTTTGGAATAAATACGCGTCCGGATGACTAGATGTCGATGGAAATCGACGTGTCAGACGCCCAGATCAAAGCGTTATCCCGTAAGTTTACATGTGGGATTACATGGATACTCGCAGTCAATCTCTTTCACTGTTTTGCTTCTCTCAAAATACCAATCCCCAACAGCCTTGGCGATAGTCTGCTCCACACAAGTGTAAATCAAAACAAATCAATCAGAACAGTCTTATGGAATTTCAATGTTTATTTTTTCTGAACTGAACACTATTCAGTGATTTAACCTCACCATGTTACCAAGTACTGGGGAAAACTGTGAGCTCCATGAGATGCTGTATTTTGTTTGACAGTGCATGAAGCATGAATCAATGAACAGACCCCAGTCCTTTTTGTCTTTGACAACCTTTACGCCATCGACAAATTTCTTCCTGAACCCTAAACACGGAAGGAGAAAAAACAAATGTACTTTTGCGTTATAAAAGAAACAGGATAGTTACAGCGTAGAATGGAGGAATCGAATAGATTGACAAGTTAAACAAACCATTGAGTACTTCCATTTGTGTGGAATTGCAATTTCCAATGTCATTTGTGCAATTCAACCATGATTGTCCAGGATAGGATCCCACTGGGGCAAGAGTATCTCTTATCTACAGACAAGAAACATAGCTGAAAAATATATTTTTTTTAATGGTCAGGCCATTGCCGACGTTTTATATATAAAAAAAGGTGTCCAATTTTAAGAAGTAAACATGACCAAACCTTACGATGCTCAGTTTAGTATAAACCGAGCAAAAATCACAACTACAACACCACACTCAAAAATATATTCATTACTCATGGTCATAGGAACAAAAAACATAAAGATTAAAGTTACCTGCCAAGAATCATAGGCAGAGTTCACAATAAGCGTGGGAGCGGTGATGCTCTTGACAAGCTCAGTGGCCAAGAAGCACTGGGAACAGTGACATGTCAGTAAATGAACTTAGCAACATACGGAGACACGGAGTACAACATAACAAAAAGAGATCTTTTATGGACTGCAGAGAAATACCTCTGTTCGAACCTTCTTTGCAAGACAATCCTTTGGCAAAACTTCACTAACATTCTGGGATAAAATTCCAAGCAATTACTGAGTAAAAGCATTATAAGAAAAAATTTATAAGTTTCACTTTGTCTAAGGCTTACCTGAAGCTGAACAGTTCCATTGAAAACGGACCACATGAGCCTCTTCCCAGATAAATCCTCACTGGAGCATAAACTGCCATTTCAGTACAGGTATACCACTCAAGTAGGTTATACTGGTGATTAACATCCAGAGGCTTACATATCAAGGAAAATTCCAGCATCAGGAAGGCATTTAGCTGAAACCTCCTTAGGAAATCGTGCATGAAAATCATTGCAGTGCAGTAGTGTAGCTAGACCACCAGCGGAGCATCCAGAAAGTAAGGCCTGAAACGTGTAGAAAAATGAATTTGACACAGAAGATAATGGGAATATTTCAAAAAGAAAAAAAACACAACAACAACGTGCAACCTGTTTAGCACTCGCAAGTCCTTTTTCCATGAGCTCATCAAGAACTGCTTGCCAGATGCGCAATCCTCTGAAGTGGAGCGTGCTCCCATCCTACACCATCGCCAATAATGTTGGATACTTGGTTTTATTTTTGGAAATATTTGGAATCTAAAAAAAAATTCAGACAAAGAAATGGTCACCTGATCTTGAGCCTCCGCATTCCCTGAAAACGATGCTCCATCGCAATACCTTATGACAACTTTGTTCCAGTTGTAAAAATCTAATACACAATTATTGAAAATTAGTAAAAGTATGAAGTATTCAATCCTAAAAAAAGGACATATATCAAAAGCCTTCTAAATGTTAATAAGAAAAAAAATATGTTTACCACTGAACGCCCCATTTATTTTAGATTAGGTTTATTGGTTTAGATTTCTAAGCTGACTTTTTTTCTTTTATGGTAAAGTCTATATGTGTAGGCTTTAGTTTTTTGGCTTATAAATTGGCTCATAAGTAAACAAATACAAGCCAAAGGTTCCTTGCAAAAAGAAAAAAAGAAAGAAAAGAAAGAAAAGGCAATGGCTTATCAGGACATAAGGAACCATCTGTTATCTGCATGTACCAGAATTCACTGTTTGGTTATTGCTGAGTATCCCCTCGAACTCTTGCGCTTCCATCAATTTGGATGAACCAAGCTCGGTCGTTTTACGGTTGGAACAGCTTTCGATGGTGTCGCACCATTCTCCTCCCTGAGCATCATTTTTCACATTTTTCAGTACAAAAATCAGCACAAACAGAATCATGCATCCGGCCATGCACGCAGAAAAACAAGTCACGGCAACCATGAACTGAAAGCTATCTGCGACAAGAGAAAATCGATGGATGCACGATCGATCACCTCAAGATAGATGAGCCAGCTGTGTTCACCGGAGCCAAAGCCTCTCTGCAGGTGATAGCCCGGTGGGCTCCCATCCAAGCACACTGCAAGCATGCAACACACAGTTCATGAGTTCAGGAGGACTTGATGCTATCAAGGTTCAAGCGAAAGCGTATTTGAGTTAACATGGTATAATTCGATTAATCACGAACAACGAGTATATATATAGAAACGGACACATGGTAAATCCTTATCTTTACAACCAACTTATAGAAACAGAATCGAGAGAAAATCAGAGAAAACGAACAAAGAGATAACTAGATACAAAACTAACACCCCGGTAGTTGAAGGCGAACAATCTTACAAAACTAGCAAGACCCTTGGTGAAGATGTCGGCATACTATGATAATTGCCTTAGTCTCTAACATCAGAAACCAATAATTCACTATACCTGCGCCCTTCTCCTGAGCGCCGGTGAGGAGGATCAGCTCGACGACGTCCGGTGCCGCTGCCGTTGAGCGGGCAACGGCTGCCAGGAGCAGGAGCAGCAAGGGCTCCGCATATCGACGACGCGGGAGGATCGGCATCTCGCCCGTAGCCGCAGCGCGTGTGTGGACAGAACACGTACGAGGTGGGTGGTGGACTGGGTGGTCGATCTCGCTGGGACAGCGAGACGAGGAGGAGGAGGAGGAGTATTTATAGTGATGAGAAAGTGAGAACCCGCCGTTGACGTCGAGTTTCGGCGAAGCACATATGCTGCAGGGATTCCACGCTGACGAAGTCGTCGCTTCGTCGACAAGTGACCGACTTGCTTGGCTACCGTCACATCTGATCTGTGATCTGTCGCCGTAGTCTTGTGAACTTAACTGAACACTTTCGTCGTAATATGCACGGCTTGCACGCTGGGTTTGGTTTTGCTCAACTGGACAACTTGTTCATTCAGAGCTGCAACTACTAGCCTTTCGTGTGAGGCTGGAGAGGCGTCGATCAATGTCTAACTCCGGGGAGCCGAAAGAAAGTTTCAGAACAAAACATCCTTAAGGCTATGTGGAAGTGCATAGCATTTAAAAAGTTATCAATTTTTTTTAAAAAATATGTGAAGATAGATCAGTATATGATATATCTTTCCGCTAACATGCGAGTTAAAATTCGATTTATACAATTCAGAACAAAAATAACAAATTTGAGCATGAAATACGCGTTCTATTTATAGTCAAATTTGTTATTTTTATTTCTACTGGTATAAGTTTTTAAATTTGCATATTTGTGAAGTGACATATCACATATTGATCTATCCTACTAAAATTTTTTGATGACTTTTTAAGTAACATGCAAAAATAAGGGGACATTCCCTTAAGGATGAATTGAGTTTTCCAGGCTATGTTTTTCTCTTAAGTTTTCCAATCTCTACTCTCCCCTTTTTCACGCGCAAGCTTCCCAAACGGCTAAACGATGTGTATTTTTTAAATAAAAGTTTCTATAAAAAATTATTTTAGAAAATCATATTAATATATTTTTTAAAAAACTAATATTTATTTAATCATGTGCTAATAAATTGTTCCGTTTTACGTTTGTGAGAAATAAGTTCTAACTCATTGAGAAGAACACAACCTAAGAAAGTAGGAATGAACCAAACCGTGGGCTGGAACCTAATGAGGTCATGAGATCGAGTTGGTACCGGACTTGAACTGGTCATGGTGGAGAGGTGTAGAGTTTCAATGTTTCATGGAAGGTAGTGCAGGTGACCGACGGGGTGGAATCCATACGCCCCAGGCCCGAGAGGTGGTGGAATCCGGCGAGGGTGAGACACTGGCCATTCTCGGCCGCTGACAGCCGTACGATCCAGATAGCGCGGTCCAGATCGAGGCGAGCTGCAGCGGTTCAGCGAGCCGATGCCGAGAATTAGGCACAAGAGAAGGTATGGGAGTGGCACTGCCGTAGGGGCATTTTAGTTGGATGTTTGGACGCCTCTATGGCGACCGGAGGGTTCGTTGTCGTTGACCCAGGGTCAATCTTTCTGCAGCGTCACTGCTACTGTGCCACTGTGCCATCAAGGCATCAACGTCGCAGCATTTCTCCGTCGACGCGTGTTTTTGGTTGAGCGACGACGTCCGGTATTGAGATACACCCTCCGTTTCAGAATATAGCAAGCTAGAACCAGATAAGATCTGTCACAGTACTACGAATCTTGATAGGGGCATGTTTTACTTGCAAGGTAGGTAACAATGCAACAAACACACTGCAACAATCATATGCAGAAGAATATGCAGCCGATGTACTGAAATATGAAGTATTCGTAGTAATTCCTTTTCACCCGAGATGGCCACTGTTTGACTTATTACAGGCGTCTGATTATCAGCAAAGCATGGCTATTAGTTGTTCACAGAACAAATGGTGAAAGATGATCTGCAGCTGCTGCTTCATCAAATAAGCCTGCATAAATATTCAGGGAAGGGTGGTAGTCTGGGTCCAGCCCAATGTAAAATCATTTAGGCAGCTGGCTGCTACATGTGGGGTTACACGGATACTCGCAGTCGATTTCTTTCACTTCATAGCTTCTCTCGAAATACCAATCCCCAATAGCCTCCGCGACAATCTGCTCCACACAAGTGCAAATAGAAAAATATCAATCCATCTAGAACACTACCATTATCAGAGATAAACCAACTTTAGCTACTCTTTTACAGTCGTACAGTTCAGTGATTTTCTGTTCTGAACTTTAGGACAGTTGAGTGATTTTAACCTCACCTTGTTACCGAGAACTGGGGAGGCCTGTGAGTTCCATGAGATGTCGAATGGCGTTTGACAGTGAGTGAAACATGAATCAATGAAAAGACCCCAGTCCTTTTTGTCTTTCACAACCTCTATGTCATCGACAAATTTATTCCTGAATCCTACAATATGAAGAAGGAAAAGAATAATGAACTTTTGAGTTAAAAAAACAGGATAGTTACCAAATAAACCGAAACAGATTGACAAGCTTAAACCAACCATTGAATACTTGGATTTGTGTGGAACTACAATTTCGAATGTCAGTTTTGCAACTGGACCATGACTGTCCAGGAAAGGATCCATCTGGCGCAAGGGCATTTTGTATCTACAGATTATAATCATAGCTAAAACAGTGAGAGGATTTTATCCGTTGATTTCATCTGGAAAAAATGTTAATTGTTTTTTTGCAGGAAAAAAAGGAACTATATATTATTCAAGAAAAAAAAATTACCTGCCAAGAATCATAAGCAGAGTTCAGAATAAGCGTGGGAGCGGTGATGCTCTTAACAAGCTCAGCAGGAAAGAAGCACTGAGAACAACAATATGTCAGTAAATTAAACAGATTATTAAACGAATTGTTGGATTATTTATTCAATTACGGAGATAAATTAAATATTTTAATGAATAAACTTAATACATAATTTAAAACAAGTGGTCTAAGCAAGATAACCGAAGATTTTTTTGAGAAAATAATTCGTTTAAACAATCCAATAAATAATCTAAAAGGAACTAGCACCACAATAAGGAGATATCTGTTATGGAATACAGAATACAGTAGGTATATACCTCTGTTGGATCCTTCTTTGCAAGACAGTCCTTTGACAAAACCTGTGTAACATTCTGGGATAAATTTCCAAAAAAAATAACTGAGTAAGATTGTAAAGCTGAATATGGAACGATCAGATGAGACAAACGGGCAAGCTGGCATGATAGAATCACTTGAAAAGAAAAGGACAACAGTTGCCAGATCTCACTGAGGTAGTATTCATAAGCACAGAAAGGAACAAACCACCAAAACATTTGGAATAAATTGACGAGCTCCCTTCCAAGATTTACAAAAAATAGCATTTTTTCTAGGTTTCACTATGTTCAACAGCTTACCTGAAGATGAACAGTTCCATTGAATACAGACCACATGTGCCTCTCCCCGGATAAATCCTCACTGGAGCAGAAACTGGCACTTGAGTACAAGTATACAATGCCAGTGGGTTATACTATTAATTAATTTCAAGAGGCTTACATATCAAGGAAAAATCCAGCATCAGGAAGGCATTTAGCTGAAACCTCCTTAGAAAATCTTGCATAAAAATCATTGCAGTGTAGTAGTGCAGCCAGACCACCAGCAGAGCAACCTGAGAGTATGGCCTGAAATGTGTACTAGAAAAATGAAATTCGTTGACATGGTTCTTGATCAGAGTGCCAATGAAGCACGAATGATTCTTGTCCAAACGAATGACTCTTTGACATGGTTCTTGATCAGAGTGCCAATGAATCATGAATGACTCTTGATCAGAAAGAGTAAAAAGAAAAATTACGACGTGTAACCTGTTTAGCAGTTGCAAGTCCTTTTCCCATTAGCTCATTAATAACTGCTTCCCAGATGCGCAATCCTCTGAAGTGGAGTGTGCTCCCATCCTACACCGTTGCCAATAATGTTGGATAGAATTTACCTTTTGGGAATACAAACAAAGACAGCAACCCCAAAAATCAATTTCAGAAAAAAAAAAAACGAATGTAACCTGATCTTGAGCCTCCCCATCCCCAGAAAACGATGCTCCATCGCAGTATCTTATGAAAACTCTGTTCCAGTTGTAAAAATCTAATAAACAATGGTTGGAATTAGTAAAAGGACATCAAATGGCCTTCAAACCGTTAGTAAAATAAAAGCTTTTTGAATAACAAATTTAAGGACTTAAGGAACCATCTGTCATCTATATGTACCAGAATTCAGTTGTTGGTCATTGCTGAGTATCCCGTTGAACTCTACTGCTCGCATGAATTTCGATGAACCATACGCGCTCATTTTGCGTTTGGAACAATCTTCGATGGTGTTGCACCAGGCTCCTCCCTGAGCATTTTCAGCACAAACAGAAAATCATTCCGTCATGCATGCACCCACCGAAAAACAATGGTTGACAGCAACCATGAACACAAAGCAATCATCTGCGATGGATGATCACCTGAAGATGGATAAACCAGCTGTGCTCTCCAGAGCCGAAGCCTCTCTGCAGGTGGTAGCCCGGCGGGCTCCCATCCAAGCACACTGCAAGAATGCAAACAAACACAATTCATATGGCACGATGAGTTGAGTTCGTTCATGTCATGATCAAGAAGACAAGAACCAGTTCATGATCACTCCAGGATAGCAGCAGTAGCTACTACTAGCTAGTTGGATGGATGGATGGATGGATACCGGCGCCCTTCTCTCGAGCGCCGGTGAGGAGGGTCAGCTCGACGCCGTCCACCGAGCGGGCGACGGCGGCGGCCAGGAGCAGGAGGAGAAGCCGGAAGGGCGGCCGGAGCTTGCCGCTGGTCGCTGCCATGTCACGCGCAGGCCGTGTGTGGCCAGGAGTACATGTGTGGTCTCGGTGGATGACAAGGACTATTTATCACGATGAGAAAAAGATTAAAAAAAATCGCCATTTACGTCGACCAGACAAATTCTTCCTTTTTTTGGTGGTCTCAACACGACCGTTTCTGTGAAACACATTTTTGTCGTACTAGCAATTACTACATGCTGACGAAGTCGTTCTTACTTCCCTCTGTCCCAACAATACCAAACTCTAGCATCCCAAGAAACAATTAAGAAAAGAAACAAAAGACCATAATATTACCATCTTACTAAAATTTTAACATTACCAAAACTTAAAAAGGTTTATTTTGACTACAAACTGAACCGGCACTAAACACCCCCTGAGGGCTTCGTGCAACCCTGTTCATTCAGAGCTTCGTGCAACTATGCTAATTGTTACTCTCTCTGTTTTACAATGTTAGTCATTCTATTATTTCCCACATGGAAAATGATAGAATGACTAACATTGTGAAACAGAGGAAGTAGCTAGCTGCAACTGTAGCGGAAGAGGAGTCGTGAACGTTGGGGGTTTAATTACGTTGGTGGACATTAACTGGTCAGGGTGGAGAGGGGAGTAGAATTGCATGGAAGGTAAGGGCGGGTGAATTACGGTGTGGAATCCACACGGCCGGAAGGCGGCGGAATCCGGCGACCGTGCCGCCGGCGCCGGCGACACCGGCCCCGTTCGTTGCTTCTCTGCGCCCCCACAGATCGAGGCGGGCCGCAGCGGTTCAGCGAGCCGATGTCGAGAATTAGGCCCACAAGAACGTATGGAAACTGGACCGTCGATATTGGGCCCTCAAAGATTATTTCGGCCGCTCCTGCTCCATGCAGACGAGAAGACTTGGGCTGTTACCTACGGCCCAACGCTGGACGGTGACAGCTTATCGTCCTCCCTCTGTTGCCGCTGATTAGCAGCAGCTCATCGTCTGTTCTGACTTCTGAAAGTGGCACCCAATACCTGAATACTCCCTCCGTTACATCTGTTTTAGGGCTGTGTTTAGATCTAAACTTTTAACTTTTTCTATCACATCAATATGTCATACATACACAACTTTTTAGTCACATCGTACCAATTTTAACCCAAACTTTTAACTTTAAAAGGACCTAAACACAGTCTAGTTGTATTTATGAAATGCTCATACGCAATACTGCCAGCAAGTAATGCTGTACGTGTACAGTCACAATAATCTGAACATGCAATTGACTCCTACTACAATCTAGTCTACTCTAATCCTCTGCTCATTTCCTGGAAAACAAGCAAACAACTCTTTTGTATAAGAAAATACTAGTACTACTAGCTTTGCTGCCTTGTCATGCATCTTTCGAAGTTAGCTTGCGATGTAATGTAACCAGATGTTCACATCCCTGGAATCAAGGACAAGCAAAACAGTTGAACACAACATAAGAAAACTAATCCTGCACATGCAATTGCTTCTGCTCCTGGGCACTGCTGCCCAGCACTTGCAACGATCGACATTCAATATACTGTTTAACTTCTGGCGCAATTCACTTGATGTGCCCATAAAGACGATCGAGCGAAGCTTCGCCGTGAGAAAGACATCCGAGCTGTCCAACGTCGACAAACGGACGGCCCAGATCGAGTTGTATGTGGTGCTCGCTCTTCTGTCACATCATCGCCATCCCCCTTGACCTGGTCATGGCGGACGACTGTCACCGAGAATATTGAGATCCCTAGTGCTCAACAGCGGTGTGAATGAATGGGTCGAGAATAGAGATGGGTTCAGTTCATACCTAAGAGCAAGTTTAATGCTCCGTTATCTCAATATAAATGCATCTAAAATTGAATGTGATGTTTTATAGTCTTACGAATCTAAGCAACTGCTAATCTAGATTTATTGGGCTATAAAATATCACATTCAATTTTATTACATTTATAAGGAAGTAATAGGCTTCGAGCCAAATATAAACACGTGAATAAAAGAGAATAAAAACTATGGAGTGTTGGCTTTCTTTCAAAAACAGGCTCTAAAAATACTGGAGACAAATGTATTAAGAGCAAGTATAATAGAAGTCTGTAAGAAGGCTAAATGTTGAGATGGATGAGAGAAGAAAGGTGAGAGATGAGAAGCGAGCTGTAAGCTTACAGCCGATTTAGACACAAGAATCAAGAAAATTTGAGACAGACATGTGGACCATATATTTATAGTGAAGAGCTAACCACTATACGAGTGAGCTGAAGAGATAGACTATAAAAATCTATACAGTAAGCAGCTGGTAAATATCTACTTAGCCTCGCTCTAAGTAGTTGTCTGTCATGTTAAACTTGCTCTCATGTCGCGGAAGGTGAAGGGGAAGGCGTCGGTGTCTGCAATGAAACGCCGACGTGAACGAGAACGAAAACGAGACGGGGAATCGAATCGAAGCTAAGAACGCGTGCGTGCCTGCGTGCCGACGTGTGTGGGATCGCCTCGTGTAGGTGACAGGCAACAGCAACAAACGCATGCAGTGGTGCAGAATGCGGAGTACATTCTCCTGTTGCTTTCGGTGTCAGTGTAGGATTTTGGAAAGGGAAGGGGAAGGAGGTGGGGGCCTTGTCAAGTGATAAATAAATGATTGCTTAAAAAAAAGGTAAATGCTAACTTAGCCTACTATTCTCTTCGTTCCATGTTAAATTTATTTTTCTTATTCCGTTTGTTCTAAAATAGATTTATTTTTAAATAATCATTGCATCAGAATCTATAAAAGTATATCAAAAGTAGATAAATTAAGAAATAATTACATTGAGATTAGATAAAAGTGGGGTATTCTAGTATTCTGGTGTTTGTATTGATATATGTGAGATAGGTAAAAAATAAATTTATTTTAGGATAAAGGTAGCAGTACTTTGGATATGAAATGCTAATTCGTGGGATGAATTTACATTTTGTGATTTTGTGAAGCGTGCAGTGAACTTTGCTGAATAATTGCGCTTTGTCATGGCATTTGCATGAGCTTCAATTTGCATTTATTTTTCATTGTTTCCGTCACTTTAGAAATTCCCCTCTCTGAGACACCCGTCCACCTACTTTTCAGTGAAAATAGTACTAAAGCACAAAACAAAATTTATAAGCAATTTTTCTTACAAACACCAAGCCATTAATTCTTTTTACTTTTAAACGGTACACTAAAGTCATTTTTTAATAACTATCTTATCATTTTTTTAAAAAAAATACTGGTAAAAAAATCCTATTGTTCTATTTCAGGCCGTGGAATACTACAGCAGAATAATCCTGATGACAATCGGAATTTTCCCAAATCCCAAAATACGGGCGCCTAATTTTGGCAGAAATTCATCCATCCAAGCTGGTAACAGCCATGCTCTGACAGTAGCTTTCCTACACGGTTCAGGCTACCATTTCCAGACTGCGACAGTTACCCCTCCTCCCAACGGTATTTTAAAAAAAACGCGCCAAAAGACTTGATCTTCTTCTTACGCGCGCTATAAGAGCAAGCCTAACTTTAGCTTTCTTCCTCGTCTCCCGGGAAACGTGGCCATCCTCACTCTCCCCTCTCCTCCTCCCGTCTTCTCCTCTCTCTCCTCCTCTTCTCCACTTCATTCCACCTCTCCCGACGCCTCCGACCTCGCCGCGGAAAGCTTCTCCATCGATCGATCTCTCCTCTCTCTCCCGCGGGGGCTCTCCGGCGCACGGTGCCCTCTCGTGCCTCGGAGACCCCGATCCGCCGCCGCCGCCGCCGCCGCCGTGCCTGAGTAGTACAGTCTTGTTGTCGAGGTGAGGTGAGTGGTGGGAGGAGAAATGGACACCGGGATGAGGGTGGCGCTGCACCGGCAGGTGTCGTCGGGGTCGCTGAAGGAGAGCGGGGAGCTCCGGCGGCAGTCGTCGCTGGAGTCTCCCCGGACGGGGAGGGCGGCGACGAGGTTCCTGTTCGGGAGGCAGTCGTCGATGGACCCGAACCGGCGGCGCGGGCGGAGCCAGAGCCCCGTCGGCCTCGCCGAGGACCTGACCGTGCCGGACAACCTCGACGCCACCATGCAGCTGCTCTTCCTGGCCTGCCACGGCGACGCCGCCGGCGTCGAGGCCCTGCTCCGCGGCGGCGTCGACGTCAACAGCATCAACCTCGACGGCCGCACCGCGCTGCACATCGCCTCCTGCGAGGGCCACCCCGACGTCGTCCGCGTGCTGCTCACCTGGAAGGCCAACATCGACGCCCGCGACCGGTGGGGCAGCACGGTCAGTGACCAGTGTTCGCAATTTCGGTTCTATCGGACCTATACGATATAGTTTTGGCCGAAATTATTAATTTTTTTCATTTTTTCATGAATTTGGTAATATTTTGTTCAAATTTGATCAAATTTTATTAAAAATTCGTAAAATTTCGGACCGAAATTTCATAAATTTTGGTATTTCGGCCATCCATGATAGAAATCATCAAACCGAAACATTAAACCCTGTCAGTGACTCGTCCAAGACAAGACTCGATCAACATCAAGATTTTCGTTACATTTTTTGGTTCAGAAATTCAGATTCTGATTTGATTCGTTTCTTCCTCGAATCGCAGGCTGTAGCTGATGCCAAGTGTTATGGCCACACGGAGGTGTACAATCTTCTCAAGGCTCGTGGTGCAAAGATCCCGGTATCTTTCTGCATGAACAAACTGAAAATTTTGTCATTTGCTCTCAATTCATTCGGTTCGTCAGTTTCGAAGAATTTGAGGTTTATTTGGTGGTCTTTGTTTCTTTTTTTGTTCAGAGAAACAGGAGGACACCGATGATGGTGTCGAATCCTGGGGACGTACCAGAGTACGAATTGAACCCTAGTGAGCTCCAATTCAAGAAAGGGGATGAGGTGGTCAAGGTAAAAACTCTCTGTCCCAATTGCGTTCCAGTGAAGTTGGTTGAAGAAACATTATAGATAAGCAGAAAATTAATGTTCTAATGACGTGCGTGCATCGTACAGGGCGTGTACCAAGTTGCCAAATGGAATGGAACCAAGGTTCATGTTAAGATACTTGATAGAGAATGCTACTGCGATCAGGAAGTCATGTAAGATGCAAATCCCAAAAGTCAGTTTCAAAGTGTGCAGTGAACTGACCTGACAAGAAACTAACACTTGTTTTGTTACAGAAACTCTTTCAGGCATGAGCTGACCGTATTGGAGAAGGTCCGGCACCCGAATGTTGTTCAGTTCGTCGGAGCCGTCACTCAGAACATACCTATGATGATTATTTCTGAATACCTCCCAAATGTAACAAGATCACTGTCTTTTACTTCTGAAAAAAAAAGTGTTATTAACAAACAGTCTGAATAAGGCACTGTATACCTTACACACAGGGTGATTTATCAAGCTGTATTCCGAGGAAAGGAAAGCTACATGGTCAGAAGGTTCTAAAATATGGCCTTGAGATCGCCAGGTAAATCTACCTTCTGAGATGTGGAATTAAACACACTTGATATAATCTGTAATCTTTTTGTTCCACAAAACAATGATGTTTAATGCCAAATTTTGCATCAGTACTAGTTAGATGCTGACTTGAATGCCTTCTATTGAGACAACAATGCTTCTTTGAATGTTCAGGGGCATGACTTATCTTCACCAGTGCAAGCCAGACCCCATCATCCACTGCGACCTAAAGCCAAAGTAAGATGAGGAAATGAAGCAAGCACTAGACTTGCATACTTTTGAGTTTCATTCTTGTGCTACAAACTGCTAGCAGTTGGATGCTCTCTTTCAAGGTTGTGCCGTACTTTACTATTTGAATCTTGGTAAGGTGCCAGAAATATCTTCCTGGATAGTGGAGGCCAACTGAAAATCGCAGGATTCGGTCTGACGAGGCTGTCGAAAATCTCTCCTGGCAGAGTGAAACTGGCCGATCATGAGTCCATGGTTGACAGCTTCAGTGAGTAAAATTTTAGTACAATGAAATGAGATAAGAAAAAAGAAGACATCAGTAAAGTTTTTACTGACAAACTGATCTTGCCTCTTTTTTGGTTTGTTTTAGGTCACTACACTGCACCTGAGCTGTACAGAAACGAAATATTCGACGCAAGCGTCGACGCCTTCTCATTTGGTTTCATCCTCTATGAGGTCAGTGACATTCATACTCTGGTTTCTGAACATGATACATTGTTCTGATGAGCAATCTCTGTAAGGAGACTAGTCATTCTAATGAGAATTAACTCTTTGTGGTATACTCAGATGGTTGAAGGAACACACACTGTACATGGGAAGTCATCAGAGGAATCTGGCCACACAATTCGATATGATGGGATGCGTCCATCGCTGAAGAACAAGCTCAGGGGATATCCTCCAGATTTCAAAGCGTGAGTTCTGAAAAAACAAGAGCATGAGATATCTTGTGCATCGTTGTGCAAACTAGTAAATAAACATTCATCAGCTTCTGTTCAGTAACATGTTAAAAACTAGATAATCAGAGTGTGGAAACTAAATTGCAGGCTGATCGAAGAATGCTGGGATACTCAGGGTATAGCAAGGCCAACATTTTCAGAGATAATCATCAGGCTCGACAAGATATACGCCCAGTGCATGAAGCAAGGGACCTGGAAGGACTCGCTAAAGATTTGGTCCGTATCTCGGCGATTTAAGAATATCAGATCTAAGCATTTCAGAACCAAAAAGAGAGTCCATGTCGCAATGTGAAAACATAATTGGAGATGGTATGTCATCATATTGTTTCATGGGATTAATTAGCGACTGAAACATTTCTTCTGCATTGCATTTGCACTTCTTTTTTCTACAGGAAATGACACGTGTGGGCTAAGCTGCATGAACGCCTTCTTGTGTACATATCACTGCGAAGCAAATGCGTCACTCTCTGTGAAGAAGAAGCCTGAGCTAGCACTCACTCGTCTGGAGGAGGATGACACGACGTACCGACAAATTTGTGTACGTGTTGTAAAAGGCCCGGCGAAAAAAAAAGTACTTGTAAAAGATCAATTTGAGTTAAATTGGAAGTAACAAAGCTTAATTATTACTACCTTGTGTATTGTTTTCTACGTACGGTGTAACACGACTCTTGCCATTGTTCAAGTACAAATACACGTACTGTACGTGGATACGTGACCGGGTCGGTTTGCACCGTCGCCTTATAAAGCGCGAGAGCCTAACCACCTCACCAGATTTTCGACTCGATCGGTCGATCGGTTTGACGGTTTTGGTATCTAAGCTGTAAGCGGCTAAGCGCCAATGATGCAGGCGGGCGCCGCCGCGGTCCGCGCGATGGAAGAAGGCCGCGGCGGCGATCCGCCGTCGTCGTCGTCGTCGGCGGCGGCGGCGGCCGGGGTGGCGATTGGGTACCCATTCCTCGAGCCTCAGCAGGGCGCCCGCTTACGCCGACGCAGGACGATTAGCCCGTTCAAGAAGTACTTTTCAAGGGTAATGTTCCTATAGCATCTCTTCTTCTTCTCTCTTTTAGGATTGGGAGTCACAGTTTTTTTTCTTTTAGGATTGGATAGCACAAAAAATCAGGCAGTATGAAATCTTTTATGCGCTTTGTGGTTCTCCGGCTCAATTTGTTCAGGCCGTGTTTAATTACAAAATGTTTCTTCAAACTTCCAACTTTTCCATCACATCGAAACTTTTCTACACATAAATTTCTAACTTTTCCGTCACATCGTTTCAATTTCAATCAAACTTCCAATTTTGACGTGAACTGAACACACCCTCAATCTTATGTGCACGTGCAAAGCATGTGGCTTCCTACATAGCTTAGTTTTGATCATCTGTACATGTAACATCTAAGCTATGTAGGAAGTATGAGTGTGCGCGTGCAAATCCATTCATGATTCTATAGAGCCAATGTAGAGCCCGTCTTTTATATAAACAATCTATAATATCAACTTTAAATGACATGGACATATGCTACCGCCGATGGTTAGCTTTGCTATTAACCCTGCTCTAAGTTTGTTTTATTTATCCTGTATAATCAAAGTTCTGCGACTTTTCAGCAGTGAAGGTGCAGAGAGCTAATGCTGGTTTGTTATTTGGATCTTTGCAGGGTTTTGCAATCGGTATGGAAATCGCGTTTATAGTTTTCGGCACCATAGTACATTTCCCCGTCTGGGCCAGGATATTTCTTATAATTTCCTTATCCATCTTGCCGTTTTCTGCCTTTTCGATCACGTTCCAGGAGTATTGATAGTTTGATACAGTACTAGCTTTGTGAGCTCGTTTGATGATTCTTCCCTCCGGAGGACGGAGCTCAACTGTCATCTCTATTTCCCAGATTTTCTTGTAATTTATAACGGGATCAATGTGACAATATTAATTAATTCAACTGTGTAAAAAGGATCACACCATGTTCATAGGAAGTCACAAAATCAGGGCATATCCTTCAGACTACAAAGCTTGAGAGTTGAGACCTTGAGTTCTGAAGAAAAAGGGAGCTTCATAAGGGCATCTTGTGCATCATTGTTCAAACTGGGATAGCCATGCACCTTGTCAGCGAAGGGAACATGAAATTGTTTGTGCCTATGATCCACCCGTGTTTGGAGAGCTTAAGAGCTTAAGGTTCTAGGCAGTGGCGGACCAAGCCTAAAATTCTAGCTAAGCCCTAGTTGAACTGTAAGCTAAGAGGGTTCGAACAAGATGGAAAAAATACACACACCACTGTAAACAAAACCATATTGCAAATTCATGCAAATTAGCAAATTTTCTTTCGCGAACTAAATAGGGCCTAACTACATCATTAAGCCAAAACGGAAACACAGGACTAGAACTAAAAGATGCCCTATCTCAAGGTCCTGTTTAGTTCGCGAGACGAAAAGTTTTGGCGTGTCACATCGAATATATGGACACACATTTGAAATATTAAACATAGACTAAACATACTAGTTAGACATTGTTTAGTTCCCAAAAAATTTTGCCCAAAAACGTCACATCGAATTTTTGACACATGCATGGAGCATTAAATATAGATAAAAAAACTAATTGCACAGTTTGTATGAAAATCGTGAGACGAATCTTTTAAGTCTAATTAGTCCATGATTAACCACAAGTGCTACAATAACCCACATGTACTAATGACAGATTAATTAGGTTTAATAAATTCGTCTCGCGGTTTCCAAGCGAGTTATGAAATTATTTTTTTCATTCGCGTCCGAAAACCCATTCCAGTATCCGGTCAAACGTCCAATGTGATTAGCTAAAAAATTTCTTTTCACAAACTAGACACACCCCTAGTCTTTCAAAATGGGAGAAAAACGTAATTGCCCCCATTTAGTAATGGGCTGCAATTCAGGACGAGAAAGGGGCGTCGGTTATTCGACGCACCTCAACTGTACAGGAGCGAAATATTCGACGCAAGCGTCGATTCCTTCTTTTTCGGTTTCATCCTCTATGAGGTCAGTCAGTGACTCTGATACATTGATACTCTGATGAAACATGGTGCATTGTTCTGATGACCAATCTCTGGAAGACTTGTCATTCTTATGAACATCTAATCTCTGGTGTACTCAGATGGTCGAAGGAACACACACTGTTCATGGCGTGGTAGGCTGGTTGATTGATTGATCAACGGCCCACAGTTGGCAGATGGATGATTCCCTGATTACCTTGCACGGGTTAACATGTACCGCAGCATATCGTGCCTTGCCGATGAAGCCTACTGAACGGATGAATACTGCCAGTATGCCGGTATCAATGAATGGTGAATACTTCAACAAAATAAATACTCCCTCCATTTCAGGCTATAAGATATTTTAACTTTAGTCAAAGTCAAACTAAATAAGTTTGACTAAGTTTATAAGCAAATGTAGTAATATTTATAATACTAAATTAGTGTCATCATTCATCTATATTTTTATAATAAATTTATTTTGAGTTAAAAATGTTATTATTTTTTCTATAAAATTAGTTAAATTTAAAGCAGTTTGACTTTGACCAAAATTAAAATGTTTTATAACCTGAAACAAAGAGAGAGTATAAACGTTCCAGTAAAAAGGCTGAGTACATGATGGAATAAACAGAAAGAACGCGAGTTAATGTCAGATTAGGGGTACGTATATCGACTAGGCATCGCCTTGTGCTACGTGTCCAGCGCCGACACGAGACATGCATTGGTCAGCCCGGTTGACGCGCGTACGGTGTCTCAGTTATTCACGTACAAATACGTATACAGTACACGTGCATACGTAATCGGGGTCGGGTCGGTCTCTCCGTGCGCCGCCACCGCGCTTTCCGACTGTGATCGGTCTCGGTGTTCCTCTCCCCGCTATACAAACTGCATGCCGGCATCTCACTGTCGCGACGGCCGGGCGTTCGTATTCAATTCGGCGCGTGCTAGCGATCGAGCTGCTGCTACTACCGCGGTGTAAGCGCCAACGATGATGCAGGCGGGTGTAGGTGCGGGTGCGGGAGGGGAGGACGGCGCCACCGCGCTCGGCAGGATGGAAGAAGGCCGCGGCCGCGATCAGCCGGCGGCGGCGATTGCGTGCCCGCTCCTCGAGCCTCGGCAAAACGACCACTCACGACGACGGCGAAGGCATACCCCGTTCAAAGCGAATTTTCTAAGGGTAATGTTCGCGCACCTACCACTGGTGGAGAAACCCTTTGTAGTCCCGGTTCGTAACCCCCCTTTAGTCCCGGTTTCCAAACCGGGAGTACCAATCCGAGACTAAAGATCGCTATCTTTAGTCCCGGGTGAAATAACCGGGAGTAAAGATCGAGCTGACCTTTATTTTTTTTGCATGCCCCTGTTGCTGCATGGTGTATATATATATATATATATATATATATATAAACCATGCATATATATGTTCAATACATATATATGCATACATATATATATATATGTATTTATACATATATATATGTTATATATATATATATATATATATATGTTATATATATATGCATACATATATGTTTCAATACATATATATGCATACATATATATATATGTATTTATACATATATATATGTTATATATATGTCATATATATATATATATATATATATATATATATATATATATATATATATATATATATATATATATACATATATATATATATATACATATATATATATATATGTATTTATACATATATATATATATGTTATATATATGTCATATATATATATATATATAAACCATGCATATATATGTTTCAATACATATATATGCATACATATATATATATGTATTTATACATATATATATGTTATGCAAATGCATATGTATATAGATATATATATGAACAAAATATATTTACATTATAGAAAATGTGTACACATGCATATAGAAACATATGTAGTCATGTATTAATTACAATCCATTATATGTCCTAGCTAGCTACGATTTCGACGTAGTAGTACTCGCTGCTAGCTCAGAAGCTAAGGACCGGTGAATTGTGTTTCCGTCGTAGTAGAATTCACCCTTGGGATCAAGGATTTCTTCGTTGATGAATCCCATGAGTTGTTCTTGAACCGCCGCGATAAATTCCTTGTGTGTGGTCAGGTTATCCCTCATGCGAATAAACTATATGAATGTATGAAATTGATTAGTAATTAAACAAGAAATCGCTACGTAATGAAATTTTGAATTTATTTGTACGTACATCGAGCTCTCTTGTGGTGATGATTTGGTCTGCAAGGCAGTGGCAATACTCGCACACGTAATAGCCGCACAAGTTAGTTCCCTGCTTTTGCTTTGCGCACTACAAATAAATGACAAACAACGAGAGATCTAATTAATATACACTTGTATGTATTTGAATCGGAGAAATATAAATGTAGAGCATGTGTACTCACAAGAAATTTGAACTTCCGCCTAAGTCTTTCTCTCCATTTGCCGCGGACCAAATGACGGAACCGATACCAAGCCCTACATGGAGTTTAAAGCTATGATTCGTAGTAGCAATTAACATAACAAGATTTTCTTAATTAACAAAGGAACTTATGACGGTACCTGTCTATAAGTTCGAAAACCTTGTCAAACGTAGACTCTTTTTTATCCATTGAGTCATATACGTTGACGGTGCAGGCCTCCAGGTCGATGAGTAAAAGCACCCAGTGGAATCTGCAATGTGCGTGGGATGCATTACATATGAAACACTTAGCAAGTTCGTACGGGAATGAAATTTGGTATGTAGGAAGACAGTAAAATTAAACTAACTCTGTGTTGTATGGCAACAGTATGAACGTCTTGTAATGCTGCGCCTTCAGGAGATGGACGAGATTGTCCTCTGTTTCTTGTGGATATTGGTCGAGCATTGCGACGTTTACTTTCCGAGGGTCGATGAATCCAGTATCGAAAACCCTCCGCCGTCGGGCCCTTTGAATCTCCATTCTACAACGATAAAAGGGAGTATATTATTTTCTATGGTCTACTTATATACAAGGACCTAATTAATTAAAGGAGACGTATAGTAAGAAATCTAACTGAACGATATACTTACAAAATCCAGCAACTCATAATAGAGACGTCGAGGGCGTCCAGCTGGTATAGTTCGTAGATTCCCCTGAAATTGATCCAGAGAATGTCATCTCCTTGCAAGAAGTCCGTGTCCCTGATCCTCGCTCCGATCATCTCTCTACCGGTGGCGCTCATCTCCATGTACAGCTGATGGAACTTGTACATTTGTGTGGGTAGGGACTGCAGCAGCTCAGGCTTGACAAGCGGTTTACCGAGTTCGTACATGTATTTCACTTCCGCCTTTTCGATTGGTGCGACTCCTAGCAATTGATCCGTAGTTAGACCGGTGTCAGTAATAAATTGTTCTATCGTCATTTCTTTACCGGTCACCAACGGCTCGATCTCCTGGTTTGGTTGCTCTCCAAGCTGAGGGACTGGTTTGGACTTTCCAGAAGATGCTTTCTTCAGCGTTCGCTCATAGTCCGATAGCTTGATGGCCTCCTTGACAGATGCAGACATACCCCTGAAGAAGTTCCTGACACTGGGGTCTATAGGAATCTTCTTTTCTGGACTTCGAGGCTTGAATTGTCTCTTGACTTCTGATGCAACGTAAGCGTCAAGCTCCTCTTGCGTGCAATCGTACCCCGGGTCCTTGTTCTTGGCGGCGTCAACTTTCGCCTTCTTTGTTGCCCTTGTGTGGGCAAGCGGTGGAGCTGGGGGGGCCCTTGACTTTGAAGGTGCCGGAAGAGGAGCTTGCGGGGGAGTAGGTGTAGGAGCACGAGGAGGAGTCGGTGCAGGATCCTGAGGAGTCGATGCTGGAGCCTGAGGTGGAGACGGTGCTGGCGGAGCATGAGGAGGAGACGGTGCAGGATCCTGAGGAGGAGATGGCGGAGCCGGAGGAGATGGTGCACGAGACGCCGCTTGTCGCCCAGGGAGGATGATGTACCGCCTGCGCCATAGAATAATGGCATGGCATGTGTCTCGTAGATGCGTCTCACCGTCTCCTCCAGGGTAATCCAGCTCGAGGTCCTCGTACGCGCCTTCGACCAACTCAACTTCGACCTTGGAGTATCCTGCTGGAATCGGCCTGCAGTGGTAAGTACCTGAAGGGTCCGTTGGGATGGCCATGCCCGACGCCACCTTCATGTTGTGAGAGATTATT